CATATTTTTTGCAGGCTGAAGAAGCAAAGCTGATCACTGAATTGGCTGAGATAGATGCTATAAATTACAGTATTTTTAAGCAAGCATACTATGCATCTCTAGATGTGAGCAAGTCCTTGGATAATTATGAGATGTCTAGGCTTCTTGTTGGGACATATGACATGGAAGGGGCTTCTCTGATTATTCAAGCTCAACCAGGGGGCCACAATTCCGAGGTTTGACTGCCATAGTTTTCTCATCTTGTCTTGAATTTAACTTTTATTGGAGATTTTAAACTTCTTGTCTCTCTTCAATGAACTGTCTTATGGATTCCATATTTTGGTCATGCATTAATGTTCTTTGCACTGGAACATTAAGCAAGATGAGCTGGCAACTTGGGTCAGACCATGTGTTTCCCTCTGAACATGCAGAAAATATTCTTGCTTCTAGGATTGCAAACATTCTTATCGACAACCTTTAAATTCTTTTACACTTATCATTATTTGATGTAATGAATTTTCACTTATGATTAAAATTAAGAAGCTAGAATTGGATTAATCACCTCTTTTTTTTTTAAATAACTATATCAGTAAATATAAATAATAACTATTGTATAATTTCTATCCCTTAACGTTTTGTAGGTTTGAGGCTCATTTATTTCTTATGGCACCAAGCTTATTGTAGATGGCAACTATTATACAGTGAGCTTGATGGACATGAGAAATTGTAGTCAGTATCAGATTTTATTAGGCTTATATTTTGCTTGTAATCGACAATTATATCCTGTTTTTCTGAAACTTTCTACAATAAATTATCAAACACAGATATGGGCTGAACAACTTCTGGGCATGTATATCAAATGGGCCAATAAGCATGGTTATAGAGGAAGGATAGTTGAGAAGTACACTTCTATGAATAATGGTGTCCTATCAGCAGCAATTGAGTTTGAATTTGAATATGCTTATGGCTATCTTTTAGGAGAGAGAGGTGTGCACCACAAGATGACGTTCCAAAAGGGATCTGTTCACCATGAGGTATGCCACTACTGATTGTTTTGTAGCCTGTATTATAGACCTTTTATTTTTCTTGTTTGTACTATTTATGTATGCCTTTAATGTGGAAGTGGATGGAAATTATAGGTAAACTGAACTCCATTGTAGAAATGCAGATACGGGCTTCCTGGCTTCTCCACCTGATTAACATTTTTCTTTATTTGCAACAATTAGACACTCACACCAGGATGGGTGGATTTGAATGCAACTTGGGACTTCATGAGTTCTCAGCTTGTTCCTTCACCACTAGATCAGAGTCTTCTTGGCCTTTTAGATCAATTTAAGAAGCATGATGATGGTGTTATTGAATTATTTATTTCCCCAATATCATCTGGAGTTTGATTTTGATACCTTTAGTAAGCCATAGTGTTTGTAAATCTGAAAATCTTGCAGGTTAGCTCAGTCATTGTGGATGTGATTCCTCTGTTCCTTGGATCACCACCTGACCTCCAAATTAATGATGATGATTTGATTATTTCATCCCCCTTGCTGCCCAGTCAAGAGCGGAACCTGACAGAACATGCAGTTAGTATTCAGCACATTCCTACTGGCGTAACTGTCCTATCTTCAGGTGTTTATTTTTCTAAAAGCTAATTTCATGTTTTATCTTGAATTTCAATTTTTTAAACTTTTTTGTTTTATGTGCTATATGGCTATATGGCTATATGTAAATAATAGTTGCTTTAATATCAAACAAATACATTTTTCTTGTGCAGGTGAGAGAAGCTACTTTGCAAATAAGATAAAAGCCCTTAACCGATTGAAGGCAAAACTTCTTGTAATAGCCAAGGAGCAAGGAGTTTCTGATGTTGGTAGCATCAAGATGAATGCCATCACGAATGCATGGCAAATAGATGCTCGAAGGTATGCATCTCACCCTCACAAGCAAGTACAAGATGTAAAAACAGGCATCCAACTGCCTGACCTAAATTCAGTATTGAACGGAAATATTGAACCTCTTATTGGAGCTCATATCAACATGAGACAGTCAAGTGATACCATTTGAGTTCACATGGCTTGCTTTCATCCTATTTCTGGGCCACTGACATATTCTTTCATGGTTTTGAAAATCTAGAATTAACATCACGTTTCTGTTTGACAATTCTTCATCCTGACATACATGTTGAGAGAACTGACTGATTGTGTCTGTATGAAGTATGAACTCTGAATAGCTAAACCTTGTGCACTATGTAAAATTTTTTGGCTTCTATTGCATTTTTGGCACCATAAAATAGCAAAGCACTCTCCTAAAAGTTGGGGTTAGTGTACTGCATGTCAACCTTTCATTTTTTTTTTTTTTCAAAAAACTTGTCTAAATACTCACTCTATAATTAATATTTTTAAAAATTAATAATTGAATTAAAAATTCTATTTATGTAGATTATGTATATTAATTTTTATATTAATATATATTTAATGGTGCTAAATTTTGTATAATTAACAAACTAGTTAAGTCTACTAGATCAATATAAAAATTAATATGAATGATTTATATCAATAGAATTTTTAATTTAACAATTAGTCTTGAAAAATATTAATTAAAAAATAATTTTTAGACATGTTCTGTAAAAAAATTTTGAGAGGGCAAATTACAAAATACTTTTCTTCTCTTTTAAAAACTCATACAAAATTTTTGATGGCAAAGAAAGGAGAGGATTTTCTTTCTATTGTAGTTTAAATTGGTAGTTAATGAAAGTAGTGTATTTAAAGAAATTAATTTAGTTTATTATTATCTTTAAAATTTAAATTATAAAATTAATTTATAAAATAATATTTACTTATTAAAAAATTTAATCTTTTATTATTATTATTATTATTATTTTTGAATACGGGGAAATGAGGAAACGGTAGAAACTTTTTTAAGTAAATGGCAAGAATAGAATTCCAACTATTTAAATTCGAACTTTTAGATTTAATAATAAACTCTAAAGTCTATTGAGCTAGTTCTTAATCCTTCATTTTACATAACTAAAATTAGGGGAGAAATGAATCTTTCCCGTCCCCCAACTTGTTTTTTTTTTTTTAACAATAAGATATTACATCTCCTGCACACCAGCACCAAACCATTTTCTTAAGTCACAAAAGGCAGTTTGCCGAAAAAAAGGGCGTAAATGTATCCATTACTTTCTTTTAAAAAATGGTGTGACATACAAGCTGACATAAGTCCCACATGAACCGCCACTATAATGGTCCAAGTTCCCTTGAAAGATAAAGGGTTAAAGCCAACTATAGTCCCTCTACTTTCCTTTTCATTCATTGTTCTCCCTATACTTTAAAATTGTTCAAAGACCTCCCTTTACTCTCCTAAAACATACTATTGTCTTCCCTCTACTTTCAATTTTCACATTAATTGCCTGCCTCACCCAACGCCATTACTAACATCATTACTACGTCGTTCTAACACCAACACCATTACTATTTGCCATCCAACCTCCACCCATTTATTAATTTCCGGTTAAAGCCAACTATAGTCCCTCTACTTTCTTTTTTCATTCATTATCCTCCCTATACTTTGAAATCATTCAAAGACCTCTCTCTACTTTTCCAAAACATACTACTCCCCTACTTTCAATTTTCATAACACTGTTATTAACTATTTGCCTTCAAACCTCCGCTCATTCATTAATTTATTATTATTTTTGATTAATTTCAATTGTAGTTCTCACAAGTTTTATATCACCAACCAGGTCACCAACCTAAATATGCCTCCAAACTTATATATGAAAATAATACATATAATTTATTTTTACCACTATAGAAGTTACACCTTTAGGATTGTCTACCAAAGAATTAATTTGAAGGTGTACGAAAATTGATTTTGAAATATCCTAATTATATTTAAAAAAAGAAAATAAAGAAAAATAATGCTTGAAATAAACTATTATATATTGATTAATGGATTTATTTTTTAATTGCGTTAATCAAATTTATTTTTTTTAGAGATAATACAATAAGAGAAATCATAAAAAAAATCAATTAATTTATACATTATAATAATCATATAAAATCAAACAAGTAAAACTGGGCATTCAGTTTGGATTATCCAAATTGATCTGAATTTTTGATTATCCAAAATAATTTTGGATAAAGCTTCTACACCCAATTCGAACCAAATTTTTAATTCGAGTATAATTTTGGTTATTCAAAATTATTTGCATAATTGGGTTAATTAACCAAAATAACCAAAAATATATCATTATTCTTCACTTTTTGTCATTCAAAGCTTTTTTTTTTTAATTTGGATTATTTTTAGTCTTTTTTTTTCATATTCCTATATATAAAATTGATTAAAAAAGATTTTTGTCAAAAAAAATTTCACATAGCACAACAACTCAAATAAAAAAAATAAAT